CAAAATGTCAAATTCTGTAACCCTCCTACGTTTCCAGGTATAAGAATTCTTCTTGCAGCCATTTTCTTTAAAAATTTATATTTAATCTTAGTGAGCCTGTGAGATTATAAGTTTCTTTCTGCAGAAACACATCCCAGCTGCTAGTAATTCTTTCTTTGCTTATACCGAAAATCTTTTTGCTTAGCTTTAGGAAGGCATATTTCGTTAAAATATGGAGATTTTCATATTTGATGTTAACGCCTTCAAATCGTATTTTGCATCTTGCGTTTTCCTTTTTTTTTATTTTTTGGCCATCCCAACACGACTTCCGATCTTAGTGTCGTACTTACCGTCCTCTGTGAAAACAATTCTCGAGATACTGGGATGGCCAAAGACGGATTCCAAAAGCAAGGCAGAGTATTAAGAGACAGAAGGATTTCTTTCGTAACAAAGAAAAGAGTACTGAGCTGACATGTGATATCTTTCCTCTTTTACGGCAGCGAATGTTGGACATTCTCGTCACGGATGAAGAGGAGAATCGAGTCGGCGGAGGTGTGGTTCTACAGAACGATGCTAAGGATATCATGGCCCAAGCGTGTGAGAAACAATGAGGTTTCGGAGAGGATGAAATCAAGGAGGAAGCTTATACTTAACACCAGGAAGAGGCAGATGAAATTTCTGGGACACCTAATGAGAAAGGTTGGCTTGAAGAATCTGATACTCACAGGTCGAATAGACGGAAAGTGAGACAAAAGGAAGCAACGCATGACATACCTATTGGGCTTAAGCAAGTGGATGACAGAACATGTTCTGTGGGAAATAGCAAAGAGACAAAATTTATTGAGAGCTACAAGTGATAGGGGGAAGTGGAAAGACATGATCGACTATGTTCTGAAGCGACACGGCACGTAAAAAGAAAGAAAATTTGATCATCTTGCTGACAATCATATATATTATATCTTCTTACTATTGGTGTTTATTCATTTTCCTTTCGTAACGTCTCTAGGATTTTCAGTAGCTTCCTCTTTGGAACTTCTACCACCAAAGTGTCATTTGCATATCTTATGTTGTTAAGATTGTGGCCGTCAATAATGTATCTTGTTAGGACTTCTAATTAGCTCAGCATCGTTCCATTATATAGGTCAGTGGTTTTCTAAACGATTTTGGGTCTTGCCTCACTTTGGTATTTCTAAAATTCTAGTGCCTCCCTATAATATTTAATTCCTACATATTCAAAATTTTACTGCAATTCACGTGAAGGAAGCTTAAAAGACCATTAACTTGGTCTCTAAACAAGCCTCCAAAGACCATGGCGTCCATGAAAGAGAAAAATTAAAAAAACAAAAAGGCAGTTAAATATGTATACATTCAAAGCATATAACAGAGAACAGAAAGGTAGAAATATAAAATATTTGAATGGAAGTTTATTCTGTAATATACTTTGATCATTGTAATCATGAAATAATGCAAAATAAAATTTGAGCACACGTTGGTATAGTAGGCCGAAGGGTATATATCTGAGCATACGCCACCAAAATATTACCATACCCCACCGGTGAGGCATGCGCCACCAAAATATTACCATACCCCACCGGTGAGGCATGCGCCACCAAAATATTACCATACCCCACCGGTGAGGCATGCGCCACCAAAATATTACCATACCCCACCGGTGAGGCATGCGCCACATGTTGGGAATCATTGGTATAGGTTGAATAAATTTTTTGAGAAGCTTGTTTTAAGTTACACATTTTTTAAAATCATTCTACCCTAATCACGGCAATAAAGCCACTAAGACGCAAGGGGTTACTGAGGGTGAAAGAAAACGGCAGAGAGTTCAACAAGCGAGAATAAAACATATTTTGTTTTTAATTTGTTCTTTTCTGTCGTTACACCATTTTCTTTCTTTTCTTTCTATCTAAATATAACGGTATTTTTATGGTCTTTCCCGCCACTCTTTACTCAACTTGAAGAGTTAATGTCTTCTGAAAAAATCATAATGTTTTGCTGCTCGTAAATTCTCTTCAAATTCTACTCGTGAATAATCCGGAGTAACTTTGCCTGATTTTCCAAAAAGAACTGAGTCTCTGGGTCATTTCTGCTACCACCTCTAAAGCATGTAGATCTGATGTTATCCTCTTAAGAAATGTGCTTCTGAATTGGTAATTCTTCTCTCTAAATAAACTCTACAATAAATGCCTTGCTGCTTCTTGCTCCAAAACTTGTTGAAAATCATCTTCAATAGTTCAGTCTTTGATATCTCTCTCTCTCAGCTGGATACCTGTTTACTAGGGCTAGCCAATCCCTGTTGCAGACGATTGCTCAGGTGTATTTGTGTTTATTCAATCTATGGTTTATACTGCAACTATACTGAGCAGACCTTAGTTACAGTTTCTGGGAAAGAGCGTGTTATCTAGCGTGATCTACAATTTGAACAAGGCCAGCACGTTAGTGCTAGCACAGCTATCGACAACACCGTAGGGTTCCGTCTACCCAATTTCACTCACAAAGCTTGGGTTAACCCGTGGTAGGGTTTTCAGGAACTTTCCAAAAGGTGCCACACGCTAGAATCGGCCCATCAAGTCCGATAACATCAGGAAATCTCCATGGTGGGATTCGAACCCGGGTCTAATTGGCAGAATGCGAACATTCTAACTATATATATATATATATATATATATATATATATATATATATATATATATATGTGTGTGTGTGTGTGAGTGTGTCTGTTTGTGTTTGTATATATATATATATATATATATATATGTATGTATATATATATAAATACTATATATATATGTATGTATATATATAAATACTATATATATATTGTATATGTGAAGTACTTATTAGGAAGCTAACAAATTAAGTTGAATGTATATGAGTTTGTGACTCTTTGTATGCGGATCGCATAAACGCGAAACCCATCGTCACAAACTCATATCCATTCAAATATATATATATATATATATATATATATATATATATATATATATAATGAACTTACCCGTCGATTTCGACGTATGACGATGCGATAATCTTATTCAGTTTTTATGTTCGTGTCGTTTGTGACACATTAGTACTGCTAGTGACCATACAAGTCCACATATACAACAGTGAGGGTATCGGGACATACCAACAGGAATATTTGCTGACGCTTTTCGCCGTTGTATTTCGTTTATTGTTGTTGTTGTGATTATTATTATTATTATTTTTATTTTCTTTGATTTCTGGCGTTTACACATTTCTTTCCGGGTCCCGCCCAGGGACCTAAGGTTAGAAATGGCGTCATGACACTTTCCACTGACAAAAAAAAAAAAGATTAAATTACATAGATAGTGTGGGCTGTACTTGTCAGAACAATTTTTTGTATCTGCTTCAGGCATGGACTTCCAGGAATCCCTTCAATTAGTCTACTGCAATCTTTTCCAACCAGTCCTAGGGCTCCAACTACAACCGGGATTGTTGATGTTCCCATGTACCACATTTTCCAGATTTCTATTTCAAGGTCCTTGTATTTTGACAACTTTTTGAATATCTTCAAAGATACATTGCAGTCAGCAGGGACTGTCATGTCAATAAGGAGGCACCCTTTTTGATTGTGGTCTTTAATAACAATATCCGGGCGGATGGGCTTGATTGTTCTGTCAGTGTGTATTGTGTAGTCCCATAGAATTGTAACCGGTCCTATCTCCGTAACCGGGTCTGGGTGGTGTTCATACCAGTTTCTTCCAGTTTCCTTCCCGTGGAAGTTGCAGATTATTGTTATTATTATTATTATTATTATTATTATTATTATTTCAACTTTATTTTTAATAGATACCCATATCTCGACATATTTATTTTCAGCCACTGAATGGAATATTAGATAAATACAGCGAGATATGCCATCCCCGGCAGCGTCCTCCTTGGCAGCAAGAAAACGTTGTTAGAGGCTTAAGACGAAGTCATGTTGACCGAGGATTTGAGCAGGCAGGCCTTCTTTTTAAAAAAACATGATCGCATCAGATTCTATATTCACTCTCTTCCAGAAACTTCAACTAAACTCCGCTTAATATTGTTGTGATATAAATCACAAGTGGCTTCTTTAGATTGAGCCGGCGCCTGTAATCGGGTTTTGCTAGTTTCCCTGGAAGACGGGTGTGCTCGGAAATGCGTAACCGGCCAATATATTTACGTTTAGATTTCTGATATGAGGTATTGTAATTATTTATATTATTTACATTGTTCGGACTGTTGTCCTCATCTTTATCGTCATATTCATGACGTTTCGGCCGTTACACTCTTCAGCCTTTTTCAGGTGATTGGAATTTCGAACTGAACCATCTATTTCGTCCAGCGGGGTAGACTGTTGTAGTTCCACATTCCATGCCTCTTCCGGATGTCTCAGTTTAACTTTAAGTCAGCTGAAGAATGCCGGGGCGTACAACGACCGAAACGTCGTGAATATGGCAATAAAGATTAGGACAACATTAAATGAATATATATATATATATATATATATATATATATATATATATATACTGATAGAAAAAATATTTGAAAATATATTATGACAGGTTTATTTTTGTTTTTTGTTATTATTATATTCTAGCATTTGCTTATCTCTCCCGTCCAAAACGTGTTACCAGGTCTTGTCTAATTGAATGCTTCTTGTCTAATTGAATCCATCTTGTAGAAGGCCACGTATTTTTCCTAGATGGCCGACTATGACGCCAAGTGCGTAGAGCTATTTAAAAGAGCGCTTATCTAACCATCGTCACTAACAAATTACGAAGATGACCTTTACAATAAATACGAAACAATTTTACTTTTCAGTTTTGCGTTGTCTTTTTCTTCATTTAATTCTTCTTCGCTTATCTCATTCTTTTTTTTTTTTTTTTTGTGGGGTTTGTTTAGTTTGAAAATCTTTCCATTTGGCTTTTTCTTCAGTCCGATTTTCTTTGTAATTTTTCGTTTCCTTTATTCGCTTGCCTATTTTATTATTTTTCACAAAGCAAAATACGCTGACGAGTGCAATGTCTTCTAATGTAAATAGAGGCGGAACTGCATTTTCCTCTTCATCTAAACAAATACGACTTGAAGGTTTCTGGAAAATTCCCTAGAGTCAAGGTGAAACAAGATATAATCAGTGGCTGCGATATTTTAGCTCGGCTATTTCTTGTTTCTCTCTATTTTCCCTTATTTTTCTTTATTTTCTTTCTTTCTATGTTTCTTTCTTTCTTTCTCTCACCATTTCATTTTCCTTTCTTTTTCTTTTCTTTTTTCTTTCATTCTGTCTATGCTCAGTTCTTTTTCCTTTTTTTATTTTTGTTTCTTCCCCTCTCTCTTCACTTATATTTCCCATTTTATTTGTTTTCATACTTTCTTTTCCTTTTTATCTATATTTCTTTTCATTAAGTTCTTAGTTATTTTCTTCCTTTCTGTTTTTATTATTTTCCATTATCTTTTTCTTTTTGTTTGATATATCAATTTTTTTTATCTTCACTTATTATTCTATTTCCTTTGTTTTCTTTTTTTCTATTTATTACTTTTCTTCTTTTCTTTTCTTCCTTTCTTTTTCTAATATCACATATTTTTCCTTCTCCTTTCTTTCTTTCTTTCTGCTTTTCTTTACAATTATTTTTCCATTTTCTTTGTTTTTGTTTGGTTCTTTCTTTCGTTTCCTTTCTGACTTCATCGTTTCTTTTTTCCATTTTCTTTTTTCTTTCGTTTTCTATCTTCATTACTTTTTACTTTTTCTCTTTACGTTGTTTCTTTCTCTCCCAATTTTAACTTATTTTTCCAATTTCTTTGATTTCTATACGACTTTCTTTTTTGAGATTCTTCTTTCTTTTCATCACTTTCTTTCTTTTTTTACTTTATTAATTTTTCAATTCCTTATACTCTCTCCATCGCTCTTTTCTTTATTAATTTTTCATTTCCTTATTTTCCCCCATCTCCCTCCCTTTCTTTCTTTCTTTCTTTCTTTCTTAATTTTTCATTTACTTATTTTCTCCCTCTGTCACTTTCTTTCATTCTCTCTCTCTCTTTCTTTCTTTCTCTCTCTCTTTCTTTCTTTCTTTCTTTCTTAATATTCACTCTGCATATTACAAGCGTATTCAATTGTTATCATGTCGTTTCGAACATTGGGTGATTGTGTGAAACGATCTCAAGCAAAAGGCGGGTCTATTGTTCTTTTAGTCTTTCTTTTCCCCTTAATTTATTTCATTTTTCCTTTCTTTTCTTTGAATTTTCTATTCTTTTTCTCTTTCCCATTGATTTTTTAATTTCTTATATTTAATCTTTCTTTGTATCTTTCTCTTTTACATTTTTCTCTTTTCTTTTCACTTCGCTTTTTCACTTTCCATTTTTCTTTCTCTCTTTTCTTTTCACTTGCTTTTTTTCACTTTCATTTTTCTTTTTCTTTTCTTTTCACTTTCTGCTTTTTCACTTTCCATTTTTCTTTTTCTTTTTCTTTTCACTTCTTTTCACTTTCCATTTTTTTCTCTTTTCTTTTCACTTCGCTTTTTCACTTTCCATTTTTCTTTCTCTCTTTTCTTTTCACTTCGCTTTTTCACTTTCCATTTTTCTTTCTCTCTTTTCTTTTCACTTCGCTTTTTCACTTTCCATTTTTCTTTCTCTCTTTTCTTTTCACTTCGCTTTTTCACTTTCCATTTTTCTTTCTCTCTTTTCTTTTTTCACTATTTTTTTTCTTTCTACTGTCATTTTTCGCTTTTCTTTTACTAATTTCCTTTTTTGATTATTTTTTTCCATTTATTTTACCATCATATTTTATTTTCCTATTTCTTTTTTTTTTTATCTTTCTCTATTTATTTTTTATTTTTCTCTTTTTCGTTCTCTTTCGATTTTTCTTTTGTTTCTCTATTTTTTTTTTCTTTCTGCACCGCTTCTTTCCTTCCCTGCTTTCATTTTGTACGCTTTGTTTTCTCTCTTTTGTATACCACGCATTCATTCCTTTTATATATCACGCATTCATTTCTTTATTTTTTCTTCCTGTTCTCTCGCTTATCTTTATTTTCTTGCTCTCCCTCGCCTCTTTCAATATTTTTCAGTTTCTTTTTTTCCATTCAGCATTCTCAATTATTCTTTCTTTTCTCCCTTCACGAATTTCTCACTTATTGTGTTTTAAATTGTTTAATCCCTTTTCTGCTTCCATACTTATTGATTACAACCTTTTCTTTGTCACCCTGTATTTCCCCTTCAAGTTTCCTAAGCCTAATTGCTTTCTTCTCTTAGCTTTCTCTATTTCTATATTTCAAAATAAAACTATGATGTAAACTTGACAATGTATCAGGTCATATACAGGATGTCCCAGAAAAATGACATCATTTAAAATGTGAATTTCTTTCTTTCTTTCTTTCTTTCTTTCTTTCTTTCTTGTCTTTATTAATTTTACATTTACATACTTTCTCGACCTCTTTCTCTCTTTTGATTATTAATTTTTCATTTACTTATTTTTTTTCTTTCTTTCTTTCTTTTCTATTAATTTTTCATTTACTTATTTTCTCTCTTCCGTTCGTTGTATCGTTCGTTCTTTCTTTTTTTTTCTCTTTATTAATTTTTATTTCCATATTTTCTCCCTCTCTTTCTTTCTTTCGTTCTTTCTTTTCTTTTCTTTTCTCTATTAATTTTTCATTTACTTATTTTCTCTCTTTCTTTCTTTCGTTGTTTCTTTCTTTCTTTTTTCTCTTCATTAATTTTTCATTTACTTATTTTCTCTCTTTTTTCTTTCTTTCTTAATTTTTCATTTACTTATTTTCTTTCTTTCTCTATTCATTTTTCATTTACTTATTTTCTTTCTTTCTTTTCTCTATTAATTTTTCATTTACTTATTTTCTTTCTTTCTTTCTTTCTTGTCAATTAATTTTTCATTTACTTATTTTCTCTCTTTCGTTCGTTCGTTATTTCTTTCTTTTTTCTCTTTATTAATTTTTATTTGCTTATTTTCTTTCTTTCTTTCTTTCTTTTCTTTTCTCTGTTAATTTTTCATTTACTTATTTTCTCTCTTTCTTTTGTTCGTTCTTTCTTTCTTTTTTCTCTTCATTAATTATTCATTTTCTTATTTTCTCTCTTTCCTTCTTTATTAATTTTTCATTTACTTATTTTCTCTCTCTCTCTTTCTTTCTTCCTTTCATTCTTTCTTAGTTTCTTTCTTTTCTCTATTAATATTTCATTTACTTATTTTCGCTTTCTTTCTTTCTTTCTTTATTTTCTTTCTTGTCTTTTTTAATTTTTCATTTACTTATTTTCTCTCTTTCTGTTGTTCCTTCGTTCTTTCTTTATCTTTGTTAATTTTTTATTTCATTATTTTCTCCCTATCTTTCTTTCTTTCTTTCTTTCTTTCTTTCTTTCTTTCTTTCTTTCTTTTCTCTATTAATTTTTCATTTACTGATTTTTTGTATTTCTTTCGTTCGCTCTTTCTTTCTTTTTTTCTTTTTCTCTTTATTAATTTTTTTTATTTCTTTATTTTCTCCCCCTCTTTCTTTCTTTCTTTCTTTCTTTCTTTTCTTTTCTCTGGTAATTTTTTATTTACTTATTTTCTCTCTCTATCTTTCTTTCTTTTCTATTAATTTATTTTTCTCTCTTTCTTTCGTTCTTTCTTTTTTTCTTTCTTTCTTTTTCTCTTTATATTTTTTTTATTTCCTTATTTTCTCCCTCACTTTCATTCTTGCTTTCTTTCTTTTCTTTTCTCTATTAATTTTTTATCTACTTAATTTTTCTCTGTCTTTCTTTCTTTCTTTCTTTCTTTCTTTTTTCTTTCTTTCTATTAATTTTTCATTTACTTATTTTCTCTCTTTCTTTCGTTCGTTCTTTCTTTATTTCTTTTTTTCTTTTTCTCTTTATTAATTTATTATTTTCTTATTTTCTCCATGTCTTTCTTTTTCTTTCTTTCTTTTCTTTTCTTTTCTCTATTAATTTTTCATTTACTTATTTTCTTTCTGTCTTTCTTTCTTTCTTTATTAATATCTGTCCCAGCCGAACGAAATTAAATGTTGAATAATAACAGATTTATATATCAAAATTCGGACAAGCTATGCAAAGTGATGCAGATTTTTATAATCAATTACATAAAGCTTCACAAATTATCAATATGCGTACCAAGTGTAACATGGCACACGTCAAGTTGGCAGACTAGCTTCTGCCAAGCACGCTGTAGAATGTCTTTTGTAATATTCCCTAGAGCCTCATTGATTCAGTGCTTGAGTTCATCAAGCCTTATAGAAAGAGGACGGATGTAGAGCTAACTTTTCCCATAGAGCCATAGAAAAAAAATCAAAAGATACAAAGTCAGGTGAAATTAGTGTCCATTTCAACAGCACATTGCCGTTATCAATGTCGCGCCAGATCCATTTTCCTGATAGATCCTTATTGGGATAAGTCCGTACGTCAGCTTATTTTTGACATATTTTGATAAAATCTGAAATCATTTGAGCGACATTTGGCTATGTTACTAAACTACAAAATGATGTCAAATTCTGGGGACACCCTGCGTATATCTATCTATCTATCTATCTATCTATCTATCTATCTATCTATCTATCTATTTCAATAGCAAGAAAAGTTTTTATCAAATCTCAGAATTAATTGTTTGATGTAATTCGTAAATTCATCAAAATGAAAATAAATATGACCTTTGGTAAATTTACCGATAACATAAATCAATTACTTCGGAAATTCGAAAAACTGATACAATTAGATTGGCAGAAATTGTCGACTTTATTCAACCAATGATATATATATATATATATATATATGGAGTTATATTTTCCGATGTCTTTTTGAAATTGTAGGTGTGATGAATTGGATCGTGATTACGATTTCAATGTATTGGTAAGGATTAGTTGCAGTATAAACAAAGATGGGCTCTGTGGGTGGGAACAAAATCAAACATAACTGAGGGTGCGTCTGCATTAGGGATTGGCTAGCCCCTCCAGTAGACGGATATTCTCGAATACAAGTGGCCAGCTGTATATATATTATATATATATATATATATATATATATATATATATAT